ACACACACACACACACACGGAGCCCAGCTGCTCCAGCCCCGGGACTGCGGTGCCCAGGAAGGTGAGGGGCAGGAACGCAGCCCTCTGGCAGCGCTGCTCAGGAGTGCCATCTGCAAGGAGAAGAGACAGACAGCCGGCACAAAAGGGAACACTGGAAAGCTGCTGCAGCTTTTTTATGACTGAGTCAAAGACTTCAGGAGCATTCCTGAGATGCACTTTCTCAGGGACAGCAGCCTAATGACTGAAGCTAATTGGAAGTTACACCAACAGTGAAAGGGAGGTCTCACCCTCACCCAACACGTGGTCCTGCCAAGGATCAACGCCCAAGGGATCTGACTGAAAGCGAACCACACAAACAACAAAAACCCAAACCAAAACCACCCATTGTTTACAGAGGGGTCCCTGGATGACCCCAGCACTGTTCAGCACTGAAGACAAGAATGCCCAGGGAAGCGAAGGTAGGAGGAGCACAGAACAGGAAGGATGAGTAAAAAAAAAAGTGACAGGAGCTTGAGGTGTCAAAAGTGAAAACTCACCCAAGCAATTCTTTGCCTGTTCTACTAATATGGAATTTGGCTAAAGTTCATTAGTCTGCAGTTTCCCCTCTCTACCTTTTTGAAAGCAGTAGTGAACCCTGTTCATATTTACCAACTACAGCTTAATGTTTTTCTCCTGTTTACTATAGTAACTGAAAATGATTCAGCACATTATCTAAAATCACAGAAAACTAGATTTTATAATTTTCAAAAAGGACAGTGACATTAAAAAGCCAGCAACAAGACAAATATTACAAGAAATGTAACATTAACATGTTGTGGATGTTACTTTCAAATTCAGGTAACTCTAGCTGCTACCTAAAGGTGGCTTCAGCTCCATTCATCCAAATCCTGGCTGCATGCTCCTGCAACATTTTTTTGCATCACAATTGGCAAGTGTGTGGGTACAGGATGAGTTGGTTCAATGAACTGACATGATGGAAAACTAATCCTCCAACAAAAAACAGAGAAACTTCACAAATAAATCGTTTTCTGCTAGGTCAAGTCAATGAACTAATTCATTCTCAGCTGAAGAATCACTCGGTCCATTGTACCCAGAAAGGAAAGGAATATGTGGCTGGATGTAGAGGGGATGTAGAGTGACCTTTTCAGTAGCAGCCCACCAGCACAGCAGCTTCACTGTAATATTTTATACACACATATAGATACACACACACTCCAAGATTTATACTTACAGTGTGAACTGTGCAATTCTATTTCACAGCATTTCCTTCTTCCCCTACCCAATCTGATATCACTTAAAAATAAGTCTTAAATGCTTTAAAGATAACTAAATTCCACATAAAGTCCTATACTAATCTTTACAAATTGCTGCTATCTGAAGTTTTCATTCTGCATTCCAATAGACACACTATTCCAGCATACACTCCAGTGGGACAGATCTGTTAATTACACATAAGTTTCATGTTTGCATGAAAGAACCAGAAGCCTCTTCCCAGTACAATCAAAACCCAAGCAAACCCTTGGCTAAGGCTCTCAGGAGTTTTAACAATGAGAATTCTCTAATGCTCCTGAAAAGTATTACAATGACACAATCTATAAGTCATATATATATGCATGAAGAAGATGAAATAGGCTTTTTCCCTGCTGGGGATTTAAAAAAGCACTGGGCACATCTTTAGCACTTTTTTCTCCATGTGTACCTGTGAAGGGGTTTTTTTGGCTAGTTTGGTTTTTAAAGTGCAATATTCTGCTGGAATAGAATTGTTATTTTTGTCTAATATTCTCTGTAACTTAACAAGCTCAGTGGAAAACCTGAGACCTTTTTCATAAAGACAATCTTCTACTCCTCACTTTCTTTTCTGATTTTACTGAAACAGTAATTTCAAATTTCCACTTTAATACCATCTTTAGCTTAACCTCCTTCATGCTTTCCCTAGAAGTGCTTCCTCTCATAGATTCTGGTATAAAGCCAATGTGGTTATCAATGAATACTCCATTGTTTGCACATTTTCAAATGCCCACAAGTCTTCCACCCATTTCCATTCCCACTGTTTCCCCAGATAACCCATTTCAAATTTTCCATTATAGCTCCCTACATAATAATAATCAAGAAAATGTCGTCACTGACAAAGATGGCTAATCTCTCCAGAGCTCTTATATATTTCCTTGGGTTTCCTCTTTTGCCATGTTCCCAAAACTGTCTTCTTTTTCAAGATAAAACTATTCAAGATAACAAACATAGTTTGGTAAAACAGGAAACAATGGTTTTATGTTTAAACTTAGCATTAATCACTCAGCCTATTCTTCCATCTTTTCCTCAAGACTTCCAATTTGCTTATGTAATTTCAATAACTTGCTATATTGTTTCTTTACTAGAGATTTCCCTTCCTCCAAAACGCTATTACTGCCTGCAGCCTGTGTCTTAAACTTAACCACAGACACACCCGTTTATAAATACACCCTAGAAAATTACATATCGATAGATTTTCTTCTGTTTTATTTCATCCCTGCTCCTTAGAGGTGCTCTCAAATATTTTATTAGTTTATGCTTAAAGCTAATTTGACAGAGACTGTCTAATCCACCCTTAGTCTTACATGAGGCATCACAGAAGGATTAAAATTGGTTCTCCCAGCAACTGATGCTGAGGTTTGTGCTTGTGAATATCTCAAAAGCAATCTAATTATGATCTTTCCTGAGGTGCAGGACAAAGATTTCATTTCACAGCTGGATACATCCCCTGAAACTCGTTGTTTAAGCACAGCCTATTTCGGAGGTACACAGAACAGCCTAAAAGGCAGGGAAGAGGCAAAGAATGAAGGGCTGAAGACAGGTGAAGGAGCAGAGCTCTGGTCAGCGAAGGAAACGTGCACCAGGCTGACATAAAACTGGTGCCCAGTAATGGGAAAGGGGAACACTTAGCCTGATTTGCCCTGACAGAGCTCAGGAATGAAAGCTTGACCCAGACCATAAACCAGCATAAAAAGTTAAAAAAACCACATAATCACTAAGTCTTGACTAGGTCAATCACAGTCACAGCAACAAAGGAAAGTGTCAAAGTCTCCATTAATGTATACTTAACTGCATTTGTAAAACACAAACAGGCCCTCAATTCCAAGGGTGCCAGCTGATTAAAGGTTTAAAAGAACTTGCATCCAACACTGTGGCATTATTCAAACCCAAACAACATGGAGAAGAAAACAAAACACAGCCTCATTTTCAGCCCATGACAGACTCTGCAGAGTGTATCAACAGAAAGGTCTTCTGGGTGGTCTTTTGTAGGGCAGAGTTTAGAATTCCAGCCTACTCACGGCTCAACTGCATGGAGAAAAGCAGACACACACAAAGTGCAGATTCTCTGCCTTTCTTTTGCAGTGCCAAAAACTTGAAAAACTCTCAGTGGCAATCAAACACTCCTCCAGTTTGGCAAAGTACTCAGCTGGAGTATATGACAAATCTGGTCCTAATGTACATTAGGAACCCTGGAACAACAAAACACTCTGGAGTGGACCCTTTAAGTGAGAGTGGTAAGAATTAAACAGATGCTCCAAAATATTTGCTGAGGGTCTGCTCCCATCTTGCCAAGTTCTTCAAAACAGGCAAGATGCTTAGGGCTAACTTTCTTTTACTCCCTCCTACCAGCACGCTGCACTGCCCATCCCAGCCAGGGCTGTGCACACACACTGCATCTGTAAGCAAAGCAAACTCCCAAGACTTTATTGTTGATTAGGCTATCAGCTCACTAAGAGATATTTGTTTTCTTTTAAAATATAAAAGTGTTTAAACTTGCCTTTTAAACAAAAAGCAGTTTCCACAGTTCAAGATCCAATTTTGAAATAGTAAAGCTCAAGTCCGTAACACTGAATTTTTAAATTTGCCTTCTCGTTCCCACACAAAATCACTTGAAAAACTAAAGAAAACTTCTCAACTCTTATTTTACGGAAAGATGAAAAATACCAAATGAGGGAATTGGATATTTCATAAGAGTTACTTAAGCAATAAGAAACCCCATAATTATTACTCAGTCAAAATGCAGAGATAGCATTTTCTACTTCAAGCATTAAGTAGTTTTCAAGACAATACTGAAAAAGTAATAATTTTCCAAAGAGCAAAGTACTTCTAGAGCAGGGAGATCTTTTTTCTGAGAGTGCCAAAAACATTTGCTTGATTCTTTGACACTTAAGGCTATGTACCAAGCTAGGAATCGAAACAAGAAAATCTGCATTTAGCATTACAAATATGAACACCCTGGCTGGTATTGGAAAAAAAAAATGAGTTGAATGAGTAAAAGAAAACACATTTTTCCAAGGGTCAAATACACATTAATACATGTAAGATCAACTCCTAAAACCCACCCAGACCTTGGGGTGTAACTGTGACCCTCAGCGAGGGGCACAGAGCGGCACCTGGGCCCGTGTGAGCACTCCTGAGACAGCAGCACTTAACTGCAGGATGAAATCCAGAAGCCTTTGACCCTGATGAAGCCTTCAGGATGAAATATTTAAGGAGAATTGCTTATGGTATTTAACCACACACCAGTGCCTTTTCCTCCATAACTGTTTGGGGATTTTTTTCCCAGCAGGGCCAGGACTGATCTGCTTGAGTTGCTGTGCAGAACAAGTGCTAAGAAAACATACAAGAACCCGTGGACGTTACTAACAGCTACATCAGAATTTTGGAAAGTAAAATGTTACAAGGACAAAATATAAAGGGAAAAAGATCCTTAAATCAAGGTGCTAAAATCATATCCAGCTTTCTAAACACGTGGTCTCCAAGACTTATAAGGCTCAGAAAATGCTGAGCTTTCAAAATTTCCATTTTTGCCTGCATTTAGGCTCATTTCAGGATGCCCTTTTGAATACTTTGGCTCAACTGTTCATGCGACTTTCTAGTGCCAAGATGATAGTAACAAATACTTGCATAACTACATCTATCTATATATATAAATATTTGCTTAATTTCTGTTAAAAACCCCAAAATTTATAGAACAGTTTTGTACCTACCAATCCACCATTGTCACATGTCCAAGCACTTGGATCAAAGTCAAGTTTACTGACACAAACGATAAATTTCTCTGGAAACACACGGAGCTCTACACAAAAATAATTGAAAAGAGGATTACAAAAGTCATAACCACTTTCAAACCCACTCGCAACAACACACATGTTCTTTTAGTACACAAAATTACTTGCTTTTTTAATTGCACACTAACTCAATGCACCTCTCTAGCTTCTCACCTACTCTCTTCTACATGCCACCCCTCCTTTTGCTTTGTTTTTATAAAGCATTCCAAAAAATCAATAAGTGGAATACATGGAGTTCTCAAGAGGACGGTCACGGCTGCACATCAGTCACCTGCACCCCTGGACAGGAAGCCCAGACAGACCCAACAGACAAACCACTTAACAAGGATTCCTTCTGTGCTGCTCTGTGATGAGTCTTCCATCACAAAAGCTGCACACTAGGTTTGCAGCCCACAACAGCATTCAGCCAGGGCTTGGCACCGAACCTCAGCGTAAGGCCAGGGCACAGAGCTTCACACTCTGCCTACAGGCATTTCTGAAGTCATTAACCAAGGTGGTTAACTACTACTGAATTACACATTTTACTCACAATCACATGGATTGTTATGAACACAATAAAGTTTCTGTTTACAAAGGATTAAAAATTGAAGGTTCTCAGATTAGAACAGATGAGACAAAGCTTTATTCAGTACCTGGCAATGCTATGGGAAGAGCACAGCTGGATATTTTCTTGTTTACATATGGAATTATTTCCAGATTAGTATCCTCATATTTTCAGGTCAGTTTTTTTTTTGTTGTTGTGGTTGCTAGGTTTTGTTTTTATAAAAACAGAATTAAAATATTTTAAAGTTTGTTGTATTTCAGAATGAAGCCATTACACTCTGTTTTTGTGGGACAAGAAAGAGACAAGGCTTGCAGAAATAAACTTATGAGATTGATCTCACAGATGTGAAGAATTGGAGAATTGAAGAGTAGGCCAAGTTGCTTCCAGTAAAATGCTTTTATTTCTACATTTTATAACAATCTCATCTGCTGGTTAGCAAAATGCAGGTATCTTTAGGTATTCATTGATGCTTTAGAACAGTTCAGATTTAACAGACAGCAAACGGTGTTGAGATTCCAATGCAGAAACTCTGAAATTCTAATCTAATAAGACAAGTTTGATGAAATATTTAAAGTCAACAGTGATCTCTTCAGCCAATATAGACTTAGAATATAACCAGCTGGCATTTGAAGACAGATTTAAAGATTTATGAATACCATGAATCCCTATAAAAACAATAAACAATTTTCAAATATCCATTCAATTATTCAGTATTGTTAAGGACTTGGGTGTTTTTGTTTAATGCCAAGAGGACAGAGCAGAGGGCAGTGATCACTGCAGCTGCTCTGCGTTGGTGCTGGCAGGAGAGCACTGATCTCCCCCCTCCCAGAGCATCCCGGCTGGAGAGAGCCCGCAGAGCTCAGGCTCCTCAGAGCTGTCCGGGTGCGTGGGCAAGGCCAGCCGCTCCTGCATGCACTTGTACTGCCTGCTGATGTCACAGGGCACTCCAGCAAGAACGGAGTGATTCATGCTGCAGCCTCTGCTTGATTCACCCTGCACAGACTCGGGAAAATGCTGAGTCCCGTCATACTCACAGAATTTGGTGAGCCTTAGCTGATTACCCTGGGGCAAGGCATGCACAAATTTAAAATTAAGTTAAAAAAAAAAAAAAAAAAACATCTTATCTCAAGAAACACTTCTCTTTTTATTTTTTTTCATGTTTTCAGGAAATCATCTTTTTAAAATGCCCACCAAAAAAACCCCACCAAAAAACCCAAGCTCTGAAAACAATTTTGATTTAAGTAGATGAAAATCTGACAGTGTCTTAGTTATGCTCCCATTCTTTCTCCTCTAAGTAAGTCTGTAAGAAACTGATTTCTTACCTCGATAACGTTTCCCTAGAGCACAACGGAGATTAACCCATCTCTTCATAAAGTAGGCAGTAATGTGCAAACTGTTGGCTGCAACATAAAACAAAGGGATAATAGTAAGTGTAAGGGTATCTCGGGCATTCTGGTCTCAAAGTGTTGCACATCTGAGAGAAAGCAGCTCAATGATACAAAGGAAAAAGTAATTTTAATGGAATATTTTTCAAAATAAACTGCTGAACTCCATACTGAAATCTCAAGAAATTATTGCCTGAAACAGGGCAAAAATCTAGACAAATTAACAACCACCAAGTAGTGGAACCCAACCTCAGAAAGTAAATTAATTAATTGATCAGAGGTGTCATTTGATTAATAGTGTGGTGTCATGGTCACTTAATAGTGCGGTGTCATGCTTTCAGCTACATTCTGCAGGAACACTGCAGATATCCATTCACTTAAGCACCGTCTAGGGGAAGGTGACAGACCAGGTAGGGAAAATAAAAAAAGGTAACTACAAAGAAACCCAAGCATCAAAGGGCTCAATTCCACAGTTCCACTGAATGAGGTGAGAAATGGCCACATTTGAACTCTTCAGTACGTACAGCAGCCCGAGCTGGCCTGGCTGACTCAGCCGTACCTGTAACCTCCAGAGGCTTTTTCACTTTCTACTCCCAAGAATGACAGAAATCCTTGTGCATCAGCGGTGTAGGAAATGGACAGAACAGACTCTGCTATGGCTGAGAGACTATTAGGACATCAGCTTTTACTTTTGTTCTACTTCAGTTCCCAAATGACCCTGGTAAATCAGTTAGCACTTCATTCATGAAGGTATTTAGCAGCCTGACTCCCACCGAAAGTACAAAACCTGACATCTGTGACTCATCCTCCCCAGTCTTCCCGTGCACCTCACTGAAATCAAACCGTGAAAGAGGGATGGTGATACTTCCCCTCACTTGGATGGGGTCTGCAACACTTAAATTATTGATGCTCTGAAGACAGTCAGGCACCCTAGGTGCAATTAGCACAGATAAGTTAGAATTTGAAGTGCTACTGCTGTTTTTATAATCTAACCATTTAAAAAGAAGGAAAGCTTGCTTGTTCCAGTCTCAATCCCTACAGAGCAAGTGCCAAGGCATGCCTTATTTCTAAGTATAAATGCACGTCCTCCTGAAGGGCTCCCCTCTCTTCTACAAGATCTTCTGGAGCTCACCATGGAGTGCCCTTGAGCCTCGGCTCTCATTAACAACTACAGTTATCAATCACAATCAATCCCTTTGAAATTTATCAGCCATCTTTTTTCCCTCCCCTCAGGAAGACACCCAAAATTTGACTTCCTTTTAGAGATCGAGTCAAGATGCAACAAGTTGAACCATCCCTTAAAAATGATGAGCACCAGAGAAAAATTTGGATGCAATCCACCACCTTTATTAACTGTTTACTTAAAAGAACAATTAAGGAAAATTACTCCAGTTTGGCATCCACAATTCTTTATCACTGCTAGTAGGCTTAGTCAAATCAAAGAATTTGCCCTGTATATAAATAAGTTATTAGTGTGATAACAACATATGCCATTGTGACCTTGGAAAGCTGAGAAAGTAGCATTCCTAAAAGTACAGCTTGGAAGACAAATCTTCAGACAGTATATATTAAAAGTTTTTCTTTCCACCTCCATTTGTTGGCAATAATCCACATATTTTGGGTTTTTTGTGAAAGGCATCTAAAGTGAAAAAAGTGTGAATCTTTGTTTTTCACAGGAAAAGCTGGATGCTTCTTTCTTGAAATTCTTTTATAGATCAGTGACATCTATATCTGTTTATTTTACTTGCTGTCCTGGTATTCTCTGAGAGGCTAAGTGTTTAATCACATGTACTTGACTGAAAAAAGTTTCAAATTCTCCTTAGAGGTCCTTGATTCAGCCAGCTACTGTTATGTGGAAGAGAACACCTACCTCAGATCTGACAAAATTAATAATTATGTAAGAGATCAAGACACCTCTACAAACTATTTTTGCAGCATCAGCTCAAGTCTGAAAGTCTTATAAAGCCTTCACAGGGAATTGCACCTGAGCTGATAAGCTCAGCCCAGAGGGACTAACACTAAAAAATCATTTTAGTTTCCATGATTATTTAATACTTTGCTGAAAAGGCCTGAACAGATATTTGCTGTTACTTGTTGCTAAGCCTGAGAAAATATTAAGATGCACTACATTTAAGATACCAGCACTTTGAAAGTATCACACAGCTACGCTCATTAAATGTTCTGAAACCCTCTTGCACATGACATATGATCTACTCTGTAGTCAGCTGGAGTTTGAAAACTCCCCCAGTCCTAAAGCTGTCAGAGTTACTGCAGAACTATAAAAATGGTTATGTCCTCTTTCAGCTTCCCTCTGGGGAAATATACTATCCAATTAACTATTCTGCTTCATGAAGAAAGAAACTTAAAATTAAGACCCACAAGAAAACCTTCTTCTCCAAGAAGTCCATAGGCTCGCAGCTTTTCAAGGTTTCTACACAGTTACCCAGCATGAGTTTACATCTGTTTGTAATCTCATGGAAGAACAGACCAACTGATACATACCAAATGCTCCATCACTAACTTCTTTTGAGCACAACACACAAGTCTGAACCTCAAGCTACAATTCTTCTTCCAGTAATGTAGAAAGTTCACACATCTTGGGCTCAGCAACTGCACCTAGCTGATCCCATCTTCAATTTCCTCTTCACCATTCAACACAAGGCTCCCTTTGTGGATTACCAGCACACAGGCAGAAATAGAATTGTATTTAGTGTCTCGAAGTTTTGTTTTTGTTTCAAAACTGGGCACTCTAAATCATCAGATCCAGGGTCAAAAACAAAACAGAAAAACAAAACCAACCAAAGAAACCAACCCCAAGGAAATAAAGAGACCCTGAACCACAAAAGGAGACTGCATGAAGTGGTTGCAGCTGAAACAGGCAGCAGTGAGCACTGCCTTTGCAGGGCACAGGACTTTGCCCTGCGTGCTGTACTGCAGAGTGCCAAGGCAGCGAGGGAGCACCAGAGCCAGCCGTGCCCAGGAGTGCCTGCAGCGCCCGCTTTGCAGGGAGCCCCCCAGGCTGCCCGACGGCTGTGTGCCCGTGCAGCGCTGGGAGGCCCTGCCAGGCTCTGCTGCACCTTCCCTGGGAGGGAGCCTGGGAAAATGCCTCGGAGCTGGGAGTTATCTGCACCACCTGGCACCTGTCTGGCTTCCTGCTCCACTCCAGGCTTGGCCAAAGCCTAAGGCCAACTGCCCCAAAACGCTTCCCCGGCTGACACGCACCCATTTCTCATCACACACTATTTTTATGTCTTACCTATTTTCTCTCCCAGCCTAGACACTTCCCATTTTTGAAAGGTTGTTGTGGATTAGGACTGACTCTGCTTTGGAAAGTAACAACAAAGTAAATCATTACAACACACATATTAAAAATATAAAAGGATAAATTTCTAGTGTTACAATGTAAAAGCAAATACATGGGTGCATTAGACTTTCTAAAACACTAACTGCACATTAAAAGAAAAAATCTACATTCAGTTGATGCTTGATTAATTTTTCCACACAGATTAGGCTATACCAGTAATAATGTTTACAGTATATAGAGCTTTTCATCTTCAAAGTGCTCTACAGACATATTATTACACTGCCTTTTAGCACTCATATTTCTCCACTTAAAATTATTCACCACAGAATCAAAAGTCCTGATTGTTTGTAAACAAAACAAAAAAAGGAACATTTCATTCTAAACCTACTGTTAATTGAGAAGCTTTCCTTCCCAAAAATGTCCAACTCCATACCATGTGCTGCAGAGTAGGCTGCCATTTCTAATTTAGCAGAGATTCAAATGAAATATTGGCATTGAAGTTTAAAGGCAAGTCTAAGACGGGCAGCAGATGCGTGACATCACATACAAAAAGCTGCTGAGATTTCCAAAGCCTTTTCTGGAATCCACTTGATATTCTTTAAACAAGTAGCATCTTCTCCAAGTTCAAAGTTTTATACAGCAAAGAATAGTCTTCAAAACAACTGAAACATGTCAGGATGACATCCATTCTTTCCATACAGCCTGCTCAAAGAAGATGGAAGAATCCTTCCTGCTATCAGAACCTGGATAGCCTAGACACAACCCACTGCCTAAACCATTCAGAGTATGAGCCACAAACTGCAAAACCGGCCCGAGTAGTTTTGAGAAATCCTATAGCAGGGTTGTAGGGGTCTCCTCTAGCAGGAGAGGTGTGGAATTCACTGCAAAATCAGAACTATCCTGGCCAAACTGGATCCAGGACAAGGCATTTCTCAGGCTGGCTGTCAGTGCAGTTCTGGAGGAAAGAATAAGGAAAAGCACATCTGAGACCATCTGGCTGCAAGATGAGTAATGCCTCTGATGGAGGTCCTGGGAACACACCAGCTCTGAAGGAAAAAGACCATCTTCCCCTCACTAATACTTAGAGATGGAGAGGAAGGCTGATCCATTCCTGGAAAATCCATAGCCATCCATAATGTATGAGCAGTAACAGCCAGCAGCACCTGCCAAGGCATTCAAGCAGAGAGATGCAGAGCCATTGATTCAATGGTCAGTGCACCTTTGCCACAGCAACCGTTTTCTAACAGGACACAAGATTTCACTTAGCCCTTTTGTTGATCTCAGACTCAATAACCACATTATTAATTGCACATGATGGGCACAAACTGAAAGCTATTTAGGAATGCTCGCTGTTTTGAACATCTAAACTGTATTCCAGAAAAAGCCACGTGCCTGGACTTCTTTAACCACTGGAATGAGCACAACAACCAAGAGAAAGGCTGAGAAAGGCATCTGTTGTTACCAGCCAAAAGGCAGAGGGAGCTGGAACACAAAGCTGTGGTAAGCACTGTCTGAGCAGTCTGCAGCCCAGGAGAAGCCCAAGTCCCCTCCAAGTGCCTGGACTGCGATGGGGTTCAGTTCCACAGGCTGGTGCCACCTCTGCACATCAGGAGGAGTCTGTCCCACACACTGGCCAGACATAGCTCTACCCAAATGGCCCAACCCCTCCCATCACTGAACTCCTCACAGTGAGAAAAGGAGGCAGGCTCTG